GTCCTCGGCGGCGCCGCGGCGACCGTGGCCGGCGGTGGTGAGGAGTCCCACGGGCTCAGCCAGGCAGGCCAGGGCGGCGAGCAATAGGTCCAGCGCCCGCACCCTGGCCGCGAGGTCCTCTCCATCCACCAGCAGCTGGGCGGCCACCCACCTGGCGGGGGGCGGGCGGGCCGAGCACCCTGAGCACGCACGCCTTGCAACAAAACAGGCCCTGTGATGGTGGGTGATGTCATCAAGCAGCAGGGGACCGAGCGCTCGCGAGCGCGCTCACCTCTCGTCCTCGTCAGCGGAGTCCTTGCCAAGGGCCGCCGCCGCCTTGGCGCTCGCCCCCGGCGCGCTCCACAGCGGGGCGGGGGCCACGCCGGCGCCGGGCCTGCAAGCGTGCGGTGCGTGCGAAGAGCCCCGCAGGTGGCATACGGGCGTGTACGACGAAATTCACTTGAACAACCCCACGGGCCCCGGCCTTTGTGCAGCGAAGGACGGCCCCGCTTCAGTCATTGGCAGTTGAACCTCATTCGCAGACGCGGCCCAGGTTGGTGCTGCCTCCACCATGTTCCGCTCACCCTGTTATGTTGTGCTGCACAAACGAGCAGAGACAGTGAACGCCCGCGTTCTTTACCGCCTGGACCGCTGCAGGGCAGCCGTCCGCCAGAGCCGCCGCCACTCGCTTGCGCAGAGCTGCAAAGTACGCAGCCGCCGCCCCGTCCGCCTGGCTGTCGTCGCCGCCGCCGGTGCCGCGGAGCACAGCTTGCACCGCTGCTGCGGCCGCACTGTCATCCTGAAGACGCTCTCCAGTCAACGCGCCTGCGCTTTGGAACAAAGGTGGTCAGGCCTCGGAAAGCAGCAGCACCGACAGGATGTCCTAGCAAGTCCCGCCTGCGCACCTGGAGCCGCCAAAGAGATAGATTCTAGAAGTTCTTGCAGCTCCACGCGGAGCGACGACTCCATGCTGGCTCAGTGCGCGCTGTGCCCACCCCGTGGAGTGCGTGTGCAGTACGGTATGATAATATCTGGGATCCTCCGCGAAGTTTTGCAACTCACCTGCAGCAACACTTTCCTCCGTGTCAAATCATTTGCGTGTATGTGACCCATCTATGGGCTGATCCTGATCTGCTCACCGGTACAGTAGATCGCGTTCATAATCGGCGTGTCAGCGGTGGCTTCAAGCACCAATATCATGGAAACCGACCTGTTCTTGGAAAGCCAGAGCTCCTGGCTCAGCACCTGCCCCCTAGCGCAGCATTGCGCGCGTGGCAAGCGGCGCTGTGCAGCAATTTTTGAATGCAGCGCATCCTTCCACATCAGCTTGTCGGAGCAGTATTCTGCCCAAGCTGCACTGAATGGTGCCAAGGCGGAGGACGCAGTTTTCATCAGGCTGGGGTCCTGCAGCGGTGCATCACTACCGAGTGAGCAGCAGCAGCAGCAGCAGCAGCAGCAGCACCAGCACCAGCATCGGCCTGCCGAGCCTGCTGTCCAGCTGCGTGTGCGCATGCAGCTTCAGCAAACGCAGCATGAGAGTGAAGGCGACGCCACCTGCAGCCACACGGCCCCGTCATTCGCGCTGTGCTTCTTCACTGGCAACCAGCAGTCACGGCAGCGGTACCTCGACCCTTCCAAAGTGCGCGCGGTGGTGGCATCCCCGGGCGTGCACGCACGCGCAGCACGGCTGGCTGGCGGTGCACCGGCGGCGCTGATCCTTTCTGAGGCAGCAGCCACACAACAGCAGCAGCAGCAGCAGCAGCAGCAACAGCAGCAGCAGCTAGAGTTTGTGACTGTCGTCCTGCCACATGTCTGCCTCGACCTCTTCACTCGCCACGACGGCTCCAATGCTGACGGCAGTGGCACGGAACGCGTGGCAGCGGTGGAGGGGCTAGCAGCGTTCGCTGCCTCGCTGGCTGACGAGGCGGCAACACAGCGTGCCATGGTGTGCACCTTGCAGCAGCAGCAGCAGCACCAGCAGCAGCAGCAGCAGCAGCAGCAGCAGCCCCTGCAGGGCGCCGTGGGTGGCGCGGAGGGCGAGCGGCGGGCGCTTGACAGGCAGCTGGCGTGGGCGCGGCAGGTGGCAGCAGCGGGGGAGCTGACGCAGCAGCTCTGCTACTCAGACGGTCCCGTGCGCCACATGCTGCAAGCGTTGGTGAGCTGGCTGGTACGGATTGCCGTATGTATAGCAAGATTTCAACATTACAGAACGCAGAGAGCGAAGTGTACTGGGCGATGCACGCCGGCAGCGCGCGCTGAGACCCTACCCCACGCCACTCCGCCCCAGTCCGCCCCGCCCAGCCCCTGCCATTGCACCCCCGCAGGGACACCTGCAGGCCCATCTTGCTCAGGGCGTGCCATAAACACGAAATGTAACACTGGCATTTACAATTGGCCCGCCTGCGCAGACAGGCACATCATGCACTTGAGGCTGGATCATTTGTGATTGCACGAAACGTAACGGCAGTGCATCCAAATGAATCAAATGCGACGCTTGCAGGGGACGCTGTCGGTAGTTGGCACCATATTCCTCAACCGCAGGCGTACACAGCGCACGCGCATCAAACGCAAGTGCACCACAGTGATTGAGGGATCAGTGCTACTGTAGTACAATGTTCTGTCCTGCTCTATGCACAATCCCTGTACTTGATACGATACCCAAATACAGCAAAATTGCAGCCCACTAAGGCCGCCGCCATTGTGGTGCCTCCGGAGCGGCTCTCGCGGCGGCAGCCCTCCGCTGTATCCCTCACGTGCCCCCAACCCCCTCCGCTGTGGCCCCCTCCTGTGACGCCTGGAATTGCCGCCACAGCGGGCGTGCGCGGCGCGCGCTCATCACCAAGAACGCAATGCCCAGTGCCGCCACCCAGGCGGTCATGGCGCTGAATACAGACCCCAGGGTGCCGGTGTACACTGCATACACGTCATCCAGGTTCTGCGATGACAGACGAGTGACGTCATCGATGGCAGAGTTGGGGGGGCGGGTCAAAGAGGTGCCTGCTGCAAAAAGCTAGGCGGGGGACTAAGCTGTTGCAAGGCATGGTCGATTGCAGCGCGATGCCCGTACCTCACCAAATCTGCAACAGCAGGCCGGAGTGCCAACTTCAAGCCTAGAATGAGAGCGGAGTGCCACTGGCAAACCAGCTGTGCAAGGCATCCGCACACACACCTGCTGGCGGATGCCAAGGAAAGACGCGTTCAGCGTCTGCTTCACGATGGAGTTGAAGCTGCTGAGTAGCTGCATGTTCTGCGTGTCGACGCCGCCGAAGCATGAGTAGGCGTGCACCGTCGTTGGCATCAACACCAGCGACCCCGCGCCGTCGGCGCTGCCGCACGGAGATGCGCGGTACATGCGATTTATGCACTGCGCGGTCTGCGCCGTCTGGTGGATGTGCACCCAGATGGCCGCATCACCCGTTTCGGTCGCGAGGCGCCAGGTGCCGTCCGATGCCGCGCTCCGAAGGGGGTCGCCCTTGTACAAACCTGTGAGGGCAATAACCGGTGGTCGCAGGAAAGGACAAGCGTGTTGAAACAACAAGCAACAGCTTAGCATTGCACCGCCCTTTGGTTGATGAGCGGGTTTTGATGGACGGGGACAGCACAACCAGCGCGCGTGTGTGTGGACGCGAACTGCGACACAGCAGCACGTTGCAGCGCAGCAGCTCGGCGCGGCACTGTCAAGATGCACGGAAACCGTCGCGCGCGGCCGAGCGCCCGCCTGACGCATCCTCTGCCCCACCCCACCCCCACCTGCGGCGATGGCCGACAAGAAGGCGTGCGCCAGCGTCGCGTCCACCACCCTCGAGCTGAAAGGCAGCGCGTAGAAGGACTGATACTTCCTGCCGCCGCCGCCGCGCGACACCAGATACGTCCCCATTTGGGCCATACGAGACACGTTGCACGTAGTTATGGCGTCAGGGTCGCTTATGGGTGCGATGCTTTCAAGTTCCTGCTCTGAATAGCCGGTGATTTGCTCCAGCATCGCCGTGCTCGTGTCGGGGCGGGCGCCGAAAAAGCCGGCCACCTGGCCCGCCAGGTAGCAGCTTCAGATTTAAAAAGCGGAGAGGCGGAGTGGGTTTCACCAGATGGGTGCGTGCCAGCGGTGAGGCCATGTGAGATACGCAGGGACGCGCTAAGGTACATGCACATTCACTGATGGATACACACATATGGTACGTTCACACATGCGAGCTCGTCAGGCGCACGGGTGGGCATGCACGCACGCACGTGAAAGCATGCACGCACACTCACACACCTACACCCACGCAAACACACACACACACACACATGTGAGCAAGCGTGCGCACGTGCAAGATGAGCCCGGCGCGTGCGCGCGTGCAGCATGTGCATAGCGCACGCACACGCAACATATGTCAGCATGAATGCAGAGGATGCAGCGCTAGAAGATATAAGCTCACATATCTGGACTGCACAGAACTCACCTGGTCACGGCACCACAGTCCACCATTGCGTTCAGAAGGCCGAACTCAGTCAACAGGTCACCAGACACGCTCCTTCGCATTGAGTATGTGCCGTTTGCGGCCCGGCAGTACAGGCCCAGCGGTGCTGAGCTGGCGAGGGTTGCGATGGACTCCCGGGAGCCGTTGATGCACATCGCCAGCGGATGCAGATGGGCCACCAGCCGCAGTGTGGTGGTCTCAACCAGCTCGCTCAAGTTCTGCGAATAGGAAGAGCGGTCCATGTGAAAACCCATGCTTTGGGCGTGACGTGATGTCCTCGCACCTACAACCACACGCTAGTACGTTTGGCAGGTTATGTGTGCCCTGTTGGCAGCAAGGCGATGGGGCCTGCACGCACACCTGCGTGAGGACCCAAGCCCTGTGTGTGAGGATGATGAGAATGATCGTTGTCAGGAAGGCACCCCAGATGCCATACCTGCGGTTGCGCGTGATCGAGTGTCGGGGACGCCGCTTTTGACGTTGCAGTGGCTGCCACATGGGCTGGACAGCACCTGATTCTGAGGCCTGGAACACTTGCGTCCTGCAACTTCATTTGACGCACAGCTCACACGCACCAGCCGTTGGCGTCCACCTCAGCCATTTCACAGCAGCCTCTGCGCCAGCGGCGGAAGCGAGCTCGAACCGGCCCGGCGGGTGTCGCAGCCGGCCCCTGTGCAGCCGTCGCGAGCATCATCTGTTGCGGTGGTGGCGTGACGTCCTTTTCCATGGCATCGAACGCCATGAGCAACGATTCACGAGACAACGGGAGCTTTGAAAAAATGCCGAGTCTGAACAAAATCAACTGATCAGACGGACGGGCCTGGTGGATTAACTTTTTTTAGTACAAGGCGGTATGTGAGGCCGATTTCACGGAGTATCACCCTGGAACAGATCGTCAGGCCTGGTGAGTCAGTGACTGGCCAGCCTGGCGACTGGGACTGAGTGCAGAGAACTTAATGTTCTCAACTGGCGCTTGTGCTGGGCCCAGTCAGTTGTGCTAAAACTTTTTGGCTCCTGTTTCATGTATGATCACTGTCACGAAGTGCCTCGCAGCATTGCTGTAGCCGGCTGACATACAAGTCGCTTATGTCACCGTGTTCATGGGGACGCAAAGGGGGGGGTGTGCAGAACGGACCGAAGGCCAGCATATTTATGCCCGAACTAGAACTCTTTTGCGTTCAATTTTGAGCACAGACACTCAAGGGGACTGCTAGCACCAGCGGTGGCTGCGGGTATGGCGCTACTGTTGCCACTCCCCATCACAGGCCCTTGGTCCTGCTTTTGTGTCCACCACCCTTGAGTTCTCCAACCAGATCATACCTTCCCTCAGATAGCTGACGGCTCTCATCACCAGTTCGGACAAGTGCTGGGGTCCAAGTGTAGCTGGTCCATTGGTGTCCCCACCAGTCTTTAGTATGAACCACGCAGCAGCGATGTGCAGAAACCCAGGTTAGCATCAGACTTGGTTGCAAAGATACGTCTAGGAAGTCAAATGTGCTGCAGGTATCAATGCAACTTGCACATAAATAATCACGGAAACTTGAGTCAATGTTTTCCTGATGTGTATACATAGCCATCAGCTCAAGCTGCCCTCTATCACTGCTACGGATCCGACAGCCCGCCTGGACCTGGTGAGAAGGCTGTCTTTCAACCGCCTCATCGCCGACTCGCGCCTGCGTGTGCGTGCACGAGTGCGTCGGCAACAAAGTGGCGGGAGCTTGGTACCAAAAATGCATTGACAAGGTACATGAGTCACGCACGTGCACCGTCTTTGTCCAGGTAGACAGAGCTGGGGCTGACAACAACCCACAATTATGTAAAGGGTGTTGTTGGTCCATCGCTGGCGAAGCCCCAACCAAAAGTGGCCCTGCTGCTTTGCGCCATGCGCCCAAGCATGGTAAATCCTCACCGGATGCTGTCGTAGTGGACCGGGCTGTCGTACAGCAGGAAGCACTCCAGCCGAGGCGCCTCCTCAGCCGGCTCATACCGCAGCAGCCAGTTGTGCTGCTCCGACGTGATCACGAGGACGCGCATCGACAGAGCGTCCGACAGCGCCCTCTTCAGGTGGTGCATTCCACGGCAAATCGGGCGTGTGCAAGGGTGTCAGGGGGGTGCGAATGGATGGAGACACCGCCTTAATAATTGCGCGGGGTTTCAATACCCAGAGGCTTTTTGAATTGTGCATATTCAATGGAGGCTGTGCATGTGAGCCATAACTGGACACTCCTCTGGTCAACTCAGACGCCTGCAGCATTTCCCGTCTTGCTTTCCAGCCCTGCTGGTGTCCTGCCGCACCAGAGTCAGCTCGTCGCCCCACGTCCCGCTGAGCTCCATTGAAGCAAGGTATGCATCCAGGTCGTCCCCCAGATAGCTGGCATAAAATTCCGAGTCGTCCCTGGAGGCATACGAACGTGCAGATGGGGCAGATGAGAGCAAATGCTGACAACAAGGTCTTTCCACAGCTGAACCACCCTTGCCGGCGTCTCCGCCCCCCCATCGCAGGGGTATACAGCAAACAAGCCATGAGTGTGTGGTTCATGGGCATGCAAGCGAACGAATGCTTTGCTTTGCTGAGCGCGCAATAGAGTTCCTGAACGAAGGGACCAAGACCAAGATTCTAGGCCTGCGCGCGACAGCTGCTAGAGCCCAGGGTGCACAGAGAGAGGGCGCTGGGTGTTGCACCCAAAGGGGACGGCGGGCAGGCGGCCTGAAGGGGTGCGCTGAGCGGAGGGCCACCAAGCTCGTTGCGCCCACTGAGGGGTCCGCTGAAGGGACAGCGCTCACCGCATATGCTGCACTGCGAGGGACCGCAGCTTCATGTGATGCTCCTGCGTGTCATATAGCTGCTGGCTCACCGACCTGAACTGACAGTTGCCGTCGCCCACCGACCGCATAGCCACCAGCCTGAAAGCAGAAAGGCGCTCCTGCAGCCGCTCGCAGCCGGACTTCATGTCCGGCTCAAGCTCGGCGTCCGACACAGCCTGCGCCGTCGCCAGCTGCTCCTCTAATTGGAGCCTGCTGGGGGTCCAGTGCAGGCTGCCGGCCCCCTCTGCTCGCAGCCGCAGCAGCGCTGATGCAGATGCACGGCCACTGTCAAAATCGATCGGCGACGCAAGCTGCTGCTGCTGCTGCTGCTGCTGCTGCTGCTGCTGCTGCTGCTGCTGCTGCTGCTGCTGCTGCTGCTGCTGCTGCTGCTGCACAGCCGCCGAATCTGCCGGTCCCCACACCTGGCTCCCCGGCCGTGAAGCCGCCAGTGTCGACGCCTGCAGAAGTGCAAGCCGCTGGAGGTCACCGGCGGACCCCGCACAGCTGCCGCTGGCCAAGCGCGGCGACAGCAGCGAAGGCACCCGCCTGAAGCTTGACATGCTCCCTGACTGCGACCGGGGCCCTGCGCCGGCGCCCGCGCCGCTGCGGGGCGTGCCGCAAGGCAACTCCAGCGCGGCTGAAGCTGCCGCCGCAAACGGCGATGCGGCCCCACCGGGCTGGCCTGGCGGGCTGTGCTGGTCTCGATGGGAGTGGTCACCGCTGAAGCTGCTCATGAAGTTGATCATTGCGTCTCCATGGCGCTCCTGCACATAGGGCGTGTGGCGCGGAACGGCACCCGGGCGAGCGACACATCAACCGACCGATGGTCCGCAGATACCAGGGCGTTCCTGAATATTGCTCCGGCCTGACGACACGCAAATTCCCGGAACCCGCTGGTGCACGAACACGCACCACGACGCTGCTTTGGTCCAGCAGCTCTCGCCGCAGGCGGCCGGCGTCACGCAGCGCCCCCCCGGCTGGCAGCGGAAGGTCATGGCGCTCGAGGGCCGCCGCAGCCGGTGACAGGGGCGGAGGGCCGATGCACGTGGCGAACATTGCTGCGAGCTGTTCCGACAGGAGTGAGTCTTGTGCTGGTGATCCGGCACTAGAAAAGCGCAAGCACGGGTGGTTGGCGCTGCTGCAGCAGAGGGTGTAGCAGCTGGTGCAGTGGATGCTAGAGCAGCATGCGTGTAGGGGTGCCGCCACAGTCGAAATCTAGCATTTCTGCTCCTCGGCGTCAATTGTGGGTGAGAGCGGCCACGGCGAAAACCCGCGCGGAGGAAAATGGTTGTGACCAATAAAGACCAGCGGGTTCGACCTTACGGACGTGTCAGGTGAACCTATCTCGGGTTTACCCTCACATATTATGGGGGGCAGCTACCATGTAGCTGTTTTGTGTTCCATTGTGACGACTACAAACAAAGACTGCAGCCTGGACTGCAGTCGCCAGGACTGCTTGTGGCATGCCGACTGCGTCTCGGCCACAATACCAGGTGTGGTGGGCACCAACTACGGTACCACGTGGTTCAAACATACAGGTTTCTCCAGCCGGTTGCAGGTGGGCACCAGCTGATTGCAGTGCCGTGCCCCCCCCTTCGGAGCACACCCATGCGCATACAAGACAATCAACTGTTCTTATTCTGTCTTGATCAGCGCAGGGACACGCGAAAGAGGCTTACGGGGTCAAAGCAAGCTTAAGTGTTGGTTTACCCAGCAGCATGGGCACATTGTGCCAGCTAGTTTACCGTAGTGGAAGCGCAGTGTCACCCCAGAGAGGTGAGCGCGCTGGGCGCGGCCGGTTATGGTATGCGGTCAGAATTGACATTGTGGTGCACATCATATGCATTTGCGGATATACCATGTGCTCACATGGCGGTGGCGGTGTGCGTAGGGGTGTGGACCGGGTGTTTTGAGGTGGTTGGGGTTGGTTGCGCAATGCTGCCACTTGCCAGGTTGCGCCTCGCAAGGCCGCAACTATGGAAACCCGACCGCTCCCCGCAGCACACCCTAACTGGGTTGTGAATTCAACTAATATGACGACGGCGATGTGTGGATGACTGCAGACGTCATCCAGTGCAAGGCTGCGAGCAGCACTGCGCCCCGCTCGTGCTGCTATCGTTGCAACGGCGTCCTGCCCCCTCCCAGAGCCAAGTCTGTCGCAGAGCAGCTCGACATCCTTCATACACGGTCTATCATCGCTCGCAAAACGCTCTTTATACTCCGTCCCGTTGCTGGGTCCACTCTTGAACTCGCCCTTTTGGCAATCCCGCCGGCAACAGAACGTGATTGACGATCTACACCTTGATTCTGACGCACCAACCACAAAGCGGCTCCCTGATTGGGCTGCACGCTCCAGAGGGATGCAAGCCAAGGGAGGCTGCCACGGCCATCTTCAACGTGGGCAGCTGGGCCTGAACGGCTATAAAGGGACTTGCCATACCTCTATGGCAGCTGCGCGCGCCAAAGCCGTGGCTGACCGCCACGCTGGCGCTGCGCTGCGCGTCGGCGTACAGAGCGTGGCAGAGTTCTCCACTGGCACATCCAGCGCGCCGTCGGTGGCGGTGCCGCAGGGCTGCCGCCCAGGTTTCAGCACCGGCGCGACCGTCACGGATGGCACCGCTCAGGCAGTTTGGCCGGTCTCCATAATGGGTGAGCCAGCAGAGCTGCGGCTCGCGTTGTCCTGTGACGACGTCCCTTACCGCACAACCCCCGCGCGCTCTGCAACCTATCAACACACATATACCGCATGGCAGCCGGACTCTCAATGAGCGCGGCCCTGCCCCCTCAGGCGACCTGCACTTGGAGCCCGCGCAAATGCGGCTGTTCGACGAGGCGCGGCGGCACCTGCGGGAGGCGATGTCGGACGACGACGGCCGCCTGCTGCCGGGCGCGCGCGTGGTGCAGGTCGGGGACCTTGGGGGCTACAAGCACGGGCCAGGTGGGCGCGCGTTGGGCGGGGAGGGTGTGAAATCCAGCCGACCGCGCACTATTCCGAGCATCAGTCCAGCGGCGGGCCGGGGGCTCAAAATGCAGACCGAAGCTGGGGCCTGGGGCTTCTGTGGGCATCGTGTGGGCTCGCGCAAGGCGTGCGACGCAGCTGGGGCCGCACGGTGCGCTCGTTCGCGAGTTTCTCGCCGCTGAACGGTGCATGCTGCCTCCGTGCATTGCGGCGCAGGCACGCGTGCGTGCTTCGAGGGGGCTTTGGACTACCTCACTGGCTTTGAGGCGCCGTTCGGCGTCATCACCGGGAACCATGGTGAGCCAGCCAGCAGCTGCGCCCCGAAGCGGCGCCAGCAGCGGCGCCACCCGTTAAGGTCGTCGGCCATCGCTGGCGGGGACTTAAGGCGCGGCGCCCTGCCAGCAGTGCATGCCCTCGGCTCAAGCGCGTATGGTGTCAATGGGTGTGGGCCGGCCTGAAATTCGCATTACCGCGTCGTTGCAGACATACGTGCCGCACCTGCGTATGCCAGTTGTCGCCGCCAGGCAGACGCGCACGCGCACGTTTCCTTCCAATCCCACCAGCCTTGATCGCCTCGCCATGCTCGACCTCCAACATGTTAAATTAGACCTGGAGGGTCACGAATTTGAAACTGATGAAGAAAACCTGGCGGCCTGGCGCAAGGTCTTCGGGCAGCGCCACTACTGGTGAGCAGCCAGCCACCCGGTTGACAAGGGGGGCGCAGTGGCCGCACCCTTTCAGCTGTTTCCTGCTTCTGCGGGCCCTTGTGCAGCGACAGCTCGAGCAGCAAACCTGCTGGCGGCGACGACGGGGATGGGTGGCCATTGGTGCGACGCCCTCCACCTGCTCGCCGCGCCTGTCCCTGTGCAAAGGGTCTCGGAGCTGGGCCCTGCGCTGCTGGTGGGCCTGTCAACCGTGCGCTTCCGCAGCAACACGTTCAGCGTGCACGAGGTGTACGTTGACGACGAGCAGGTTGCCTGGTTCGAGGCGCTGCTGGCGGCGCACCCGGGGCGGCCGGTCGTGGTGTTCACGCACGCGCCGCCGATTGGCAGCGGGCTCAAGGTGGTGCAGAACGTGCATGTGAAGAACAGGTCAGCCCGCAGCGGGTTGAATTGGGCGGAAGGCGGAGGGAAGCCTGGTTGCATTGGAGTCGCGTGTTGGTCGACGGCGGTGGGCTGGCCAGCAGCTGGATGATGCGCATTTCGGCGATGCCTGCGCGTGTGGGAGGCCGCCACTTGCTGCGATGAGCCCGCTAACAGCGCACGGGTCGCGCTTCCCTGCCATCCCTCCCCGCCGGCCAGGTGTGCGTGGCTCAACCACAGTGACCGGCCGGCCAGGTTCATCCGCCTGGTGGAGCGCTACCCCAACGTCCGGTTGTGGTTCAGCGGCCACTTCCACCTGGCGCAGAACTATCCTGACAGGTGCGCTGTACAAGGACAGGCCGAGCGCGGGCAGTTGATGGCCCGCTGGTGCAGGTGTCGTCTGCGTCAGGCCTGGCGCCAGCAGCCTTGTCAAGGCTGCGACGCATGCCGTCTGTGCTGGCCGCGCGGCTCTGGCTGGGCTTGCGCTTGCCCGTCCCTGTGTTCAGCTCAGTTTTGCTCGTCGGGCTGCATCGCAACAGCTTCAGCACGCTGTACGGCCTTGGGGTGCGCCGCATCGAGAGGGCGGACAGCAATCCTCGAATTCAGCAGCACGGCCCGTGGCCACCACGAGCGGTCATGTCTCCCCGGTGTTCGAATCTTATGCAGCACGCAGACCCCCCCCCAAAGAAAACACGAACACACAAACTCTCTCTCACACACATGCATACACACTCGCGCCATTCATGCACTCATGCACGCATGCACACAAACAAACGCCCACCACACGCAGCATCACCTCTGTCGCCAGCTGCGCCTTCGTCCAGACCGGCGTCATCGGCGAGTGCAACCGCGACGGCTTCCGCCAGTCGCGCCTGCTGCGCGTCACCACCGACGGCTACGAGGTGTGCACCGTCGACCACGGCGCCGGCGGCAGCGTGCGGCTCGATCTCAGGCAGCTCTGGGACGACACGACGACGCCCAGGCCTATGACATCTGCAGATGAGATTGTGTGCGACCCTGACGCGGGCTGGCTGTGCAGCCAGCTGGACTGCGGCCTCAGCAGCAGCTTGGAGGAGCCGCGGCTGTCGGTGCCGGCCGCGACGACGTGGTTCGCGGCCGGCGCGGGGGTGCTGCTGGCGCTGCATGATGGGAAGCTGCTGGTTGAGTACGACGTGGAGACGCGGGCACCCATTGGGCTGGTGGCAGACGCGTCAGGTACGACGTACCTGACGGGTACACTGCACGTTGCTTTTGAGGAACGGAGGGAGAGAGGGCGCAAACATCAACACGACGACAGTAGGCCCGCGGACTTTGCTTGTCCCTGTCACGGGGTGATTCTCGCCTGCCGAGCCCGCCCCGCTAAACACCGCTGCGCGTCTCATGCGCCCCGCCAGGCAAGGAGGTGTCGCTCGTTGCGGCGGGCGGCGCGGCGCCGGCTGCCGATGACGGCTCCGACGTTGAGGCAGTGCTGCTGCGGGACCGGGAGAGTGGCGAGGTGTCGCGGCTCGAGCGCAATGAGTGGGGCAGCTTCTACCGCGTGTTCCAGCCCAACAAGTGGGCGGCCAAGCAGCGGGAGGCGCGGGAGCGGGCGCTCGCCGGGGCGGCAGCCGCGGCCGGCGCAGAGTGATTATTTGCGGCTGGCGGTGATGGCAAGCCCCGCAGACTGCGAAACGCAATGATGACATCAGCGCGTCCGGCATCGGGCGCACATTTGCGCCTTCTTGCCAGCGTGTCAATGTTCAGCCGTAGAACGAGTGAGCTCAAGCGCTGATTGAAACGCTTTGCAAGTGAAAGGCGCCTCCTTGGGCGCATGCACTCTGCTGTGTTCGACCCGCAGCGAAGAGGCCGCATGGTCTCTGTTGACTATGTGGAGAAGCGCTGGTCACCTGCAGCAAAATGCTGAAGTTTTGAGTCTGTTGGCCGCCGCAGTGCCGTGCTTGACGTCACGCATGCGCACTTTGCAATGAGCGCTGGAGCTGAGCAGCTGCTTGGCTGCTTATCTCCTCCCCCGGCACGACCGCTCCGACCCGGCACTGAGCACAGCGCCTTTGCATTTGGTACCATACCAATTGGGCGTTGTATCTGCGGTGAATGGCTTCCACATTTTATTTTCTGAATTGGGCTGCAACAGCTCGTCCTGATCATCTCTGCGCGTCAGCCCCGGCAGCAGCAGCCCGGTGTTTTATTTCATGAGCATGATCTTGTAAGCAGCTTCAGCGGTCGCACCAGATCACAGGAAAGCGCGGTCAGTGAGCAGCTCGCCGCGCCAGGCTCAACCACAGCAGTATATGGCAGCATACAGGGATTAACCCATGTGATTACTTTGACTGAGGTCGCCAAACGCCGCTTCATATCTGCCTGCGCCTGCCTCAATCCCGGCGCGCTGGTCGCCCAGGCGACGTCGGTTGGATGCTGTGAGCAACGCAAGACGCCCAAACTGCGATGGCATGGGGCCAGCTGAACCAGGGGCAGCGCAAGGAGGCGCTCAGGGAGCTGCTGGCCGCGGATGCTGGGCCCCTGGAGCGCGGCGAGCAGCTGCGTGCGGCCGGCGATTGGGCAGCAGCTACAGCGGCACAGCGACAGCCGCAGCGGGGGCCGTCCCCATGCCCCCTGGGTGCCAGCAAGCCACGCACACTGCTGCAGTCTCACGGGTCGCCCAGGTGCGCCACCAAGGGCCATTAAGCTATGTCTCAGTAGCGTCTTGGGCTGCCGGCATTTTCGCTGCATGCGTTTGTCGCCCCCAGTGAGTGAGACTGTGGTGTGGCATGATGGCGAAAAGGAACGGCGGAATGGCTGTTGGACAGCTGAATCTAGTCAATGTGTGGCGGCCCCATACTTACCTTCCCCTTGCTACGCACAAACCCGTGTCCCTGGGACGCAGCGGCGGCATCGGCAGCAACGGCGCCCGCCGCCACGACGGCGGCGGCAGCGCCTGCAGCAGCAGCGGCGGCAGCCTCGGAGCGCTTGCTGCGACACTGTCAGGGCTGGGCGTGCAGCTAGAGCGCCCGCAGCCAGACGCGCTCAAGCCGTCGGTCGCCGACATCGCTGCCGGCATCAACCGGACGGTGAACGCGCTCGCGCGCATCGCGACGCGGCTCGGCGACGACCGCGCGGGGGGCGAGGCAACGCAGCAACAGCAGCAGCTGCTCGAGCAGGGGCCGGCCGCGGAGGCGGGCCGGCTGGAGGCAGCAGGCGGCGACGAGGGGCAGCAGCCTCGGAGCCCGCCGCGGCGGCGGCTTTGGCAGCCGGCGCAGCAGCAGTCTGACGTGCGGCCAGGCGGGGAGCTGGACCGGGCGAACCGACAATCTCCTAACGACCCATTGAAGGTGCGTCATGGCAGGGCAGGCATGAAATACGCCGTCCCCATGGTGCGCATTCACAACATGAGCTTACTGTCGCCGCCGGATGGCGCTCGCCTCCATGCGCGCGCAGGGCGCATCCCAAGAGCAGCTGCAGCTGCTGCGCCACGAGCTGGAGAGGCTGAACAGCACCGTGCTGCGCGCCCGCCGCTCGGGGGGCACGTTGCGCAGCTGCAGCAGCGGCGCCCCCGACGCGGCGAGGGCGGACGCGGACGGAGGCGCGGGGGCGGGGCCGAAGGCGGCGTCGCGCATGGAGTCCCTTCGGAACTCCACGGCATCGTCGGCGGCGATGCTGCAGCTGAGGGGCTCGGCCGCCGAGGCGGGCGTCCCGCTGGCCGCGCTTGCGCGGCTGCAGCCCCAGCAGCCGCCGCCGCAAGGCAGCCCCCGCCAGCAGGCGGCCTGCAGCCAGCTGGTGCAGGAAGCCAAGGCGCAGCTGCAGCAGCTGCAGGCGGAGAACCGGCAGCTGAGGGGCCACCTCGGCCAGGCCGAGCACAGCGTGTCGGACCTGAGGCAGCAGCTGGTCAACTTGCAGCTGGCGATCGACCGGACGGGCGGCGTCGACGCCGGGCAGCTGCTGCTGCAGAACCAGAAGCTGCAGCGCGCCCTCCATGCGAAGGAGCAGGCCGTCGCGGCCGCGCACGCCGCGCTCGTCGCCCAGTCCGCGACGAGCGCCGACGCGCGCGTGGCGGCGCTGCAGGGGCGGCTGCGCGACGCGCAGGCGCAGCTGCACGCGCGCGACGCGGCGCTCTCCGCAGCAGAGGGGGAGCTGCGGGAGCTCAGGGGGCGGCGGCAGGAGGAGCCGCAGCGGCGGCGGCGGCGCGGGCAGGGGGATGCTGTGCGCGCTGATGGCGGCGACAACAGTGGCCGGGAGAATGGAGCAGCGACGCCCGTCTCGATGCTGTCGTCTCTGGATCAGAGCAGCAGCGACGATGAGGCTGAGGAGCAGCAGGCCGGGGGCCCAGACCTGCGCCAGCGGCGCCATGAGGGCAGTGGCAGCAATGACGGCGCTGATGCGGCCACGGCGGCGGCGGCGGCCGCCGCGGCTGAAGCGGAGGCGGCGCTGGCTCGCGAGCGCGATCGCGCAGCGGCCCTCGAGGCGGCGGCGGAGGGCTACCGCGGCCAGCTGGAGGCCAAGGGTGCAGAGCTTGCCGTGCTGCAGCAGCAGATGGAGCTGCTGCGCCACCAGCAGGAGCAAGAGCAGCAGGCGGCGGGGCTGCAGCGGCCGGGCAGCGCGCGGCGAGGCGGGGCGCGCAGCGTCACGCCTGTGGGGGTCCCGACAGTCGAGGAAGCGCTGCAGCAGCTGGCGGCGCGCGCCCAGGAAGTCGGCGCGCTGCGCGACGACGCGCGGCGCGCGGGCGAGCGGCACGCCGCCGGGCTGGGGGAGCAGGAGGCGGCGTTCGAGCGGCGGCTGCAGGTGCAGCAGCAGCTGCTGAGTGCTGCGCAGGCGGAGGTGAGGGGCGGGCGGGCCAGGGTAACTCATCGCGCTACAATGAGGTGTCTGGGGCCCGGCCCTGGAAACGCAGCTGCATGTGCTGACCGCCCAAACCTGATGCGCCCGGGGTCGGCGCGCAGCCACCAGGCACCGACGCCCTCGCCGCCGCTCCCCTGTAAACCTCCCCACCCTGCCCTTGCCCAGGTGCGCATCCGCGCCGACGAAGTGGCACAGCTCCGCGCGCAGCTGGACCAGTCCGCCTCGCGCGAGCGGCAGCTGCAGTCCGAACTGCAGTCCGTCGACCACCTGCGCGCGAGCACGGCGGGCCCCGGGTCGCTCGCTCGCAGCCCCGCGCTCTCGCCCCGCGTGGAGCGCCTCGGCCAAACGCTGGCGGCGCCGCTCTTTTCAAACCAGCAGCTGGCCGAAACGCAGCAGCAGCAGCAGCAGCAGCAGCAGCAGCAGCAGCAGCAGCAGCAGGTCGCAGAGCTCAGGCAGGCAGTGTCCGACCGCACCGCCGAGATCGAGCGCCTGCAGAGCTTCCTGCTGCAGCTGTATGACACCGCACGCGCCGCGGAGCAGGAGCCCTGCCACAGCAGCTGCGACGCGAGCGGCGACGAGGGCGGCCTGGAGCCCACCACATCGCAAGCTGCGCTCGCCGCGCAAGGCGCAGCACCGGAGGGCCCCGCGTCGCCCGCCGGCACGGGCGGCAACCTGGCGCTGAGGCTGCAGCAGGGCGTGAGGCGGCTGGTCGCGCGGCTGGGGGAGCAGCAGGCCGAGGTGCGGCGGCTGCGGCGAGAGGCGCGCGACGCGCGCGCGGCGCGGCGGCTCGCCGCGGCGACGGTGGACCGCGCGGCACAAGCGGACGCCGCAGACGCAGAGGCAGCGGCAGCGGCGGCCGGGGCGGCGGCGGCGGCCGCGCTGGCCGAGGCTCAGCAGCGGGTGGGGGCGCTGCAGCAGCGGGTGGCTGAGCTGGAGGCGGCCAACGCGGCCTGCGCCCGCGAGCTCGCCGCCGCGGCCGCGCGGCTGTCGGCGTCGGAGCGGCAGCTGCTGGGGATGGTTGCGCTGCAGCGCTCGCACGAGGAGCTGCGGGCGCGGCACGCGGAGGCGCTGCAGCGGCTGGCGCGGCTGGAGGCCGAGGCGGCGGAGGCGAGGGACAGCAGCAGCAGGGCCGCTCTTGAACTGGCGGCGGCAGACGAGGTGGAGCGCTTGCGCGACGAGCTTAGGAGCACCCAGGAGCAGCTGCGAGCCGCCGCGATGGGGTCCAGCGACGCAGAGGCCCGCGCGGCCGCCGCAGAGCGGCGGGCGGCGGACGCGGAGGCGCTCGCGGACAGCGGCAGCAGCGCGGGCTCGAGGGAGGACGCCGAAAAAGCAGAGTTGCGGCAGCGCGTGGCGCGGCTGCAGGCGCAGCTGGCGGAGGCAGACGCGGCGCACAGCAAGCTGCACGCGGCCAACGCGGCGCTACAGGAGCGGCTGTCGGCCCTTCAGGTGGGGGTGGTTGGCGGGCGCCGACCAGGGCCTGCGAGGGTACTTTGGACAGGTGCGCTGGCCGCAACCCTGTCTCGCACTGATTGGGGGCCGCTTGGATGAATGCATGTCTTGTCGCCGCATCAACGTGGACTCGCGAACACATGCGGGCTCATATGGTGCCGCCCATGCACCCGACAGGCGTCGCGCGGGGACGAGGAAGCCGGCGTGGCTACGCGGGAGCGCTGCCTGCAGCTGGCCGCCCGGGTGGCCGGCCTCGAGGCGCAGCTGCAGCGCCAGCGTGCGCTCGCGGAGCAGCAGGCGGCGCAGCTCCAGCAGCAGGCCGCGCAGCTGGAGCAGCAGCGGGGCCGGCTGGAGCAGCAGCGCGGGCAGATCGAGGGTCAGCAGGCGCGGCTGGAGGAGGCGGCACGGCGGGCGCAGCAGGGGCCGCTGACGCGGCAGGGGCCCGGCAGCCGCCAGGTCAGCGG